TGTGGTGGTATCTTTATTATGGAGGCACCTAATAGGTGGGCCACTATCACCTCCTATGAAGGGACAGACAGTTACAACCATGCCTTCTCCAGGATTCGAACCCAGGCCCTTCGGTATAACACCTTCCTTAACCTTCGGTACAGACAGTTCATGGTTTTTCCTTCGGTATCTTTAACCACTATACCATCTGGGCAGCGGGAAGATTTAAAGGTGGGATATCAGCCCAAGAATTAGACATTTCCAGGTGAGGTTTCAGGCTGTTTTTCAAAGTTTGATATTGTTGTTCAATTAAACTATTAGATTGTAGCTGTGGTGCTGTTAGCTTTGAAACTTAGGTATTTGCTCAAGGATTGCATAAGTTGGCTGTCAAATTGTTCACCTTGATCAGATGTTATCTTCTCTGAGATTCCAAGTCACAACAAAGCATTTGCGATGGAATCTGCAGTTTGGTCTTCCAAAGGTACAGCTCCGACCCACTGAGTGAATTTATTGGTGATGGTAAGCAGATACCTAACACCTTTGCAAGGTGGTAAAGGGCCAACAATATCGATATTAAGGTGCTTGAAACATCGATTGGAAACTTTGAATTTAGCAGCTGGACTATGGGTTTGTTTGAACTTTGGCTCGTTGGCATTGCAAGTATGTGCTGGACCACAGCTGACAGTCTGTTTATGCAAGGCTAAATGAATTTTTTTTGTCACTGGCTTCATTGTTGTTGAATTCCAGGATGGGATAACTTATTTATATAGAAAAATCCTTCTTTGTGAAATTCTTTAGGAATGTATGGGAGGTTAAAACTAGTGGAGGTTTTGCAGTAAACTTTCTTATTGCTATGTGAGATAGAAATTTGTACTACAGTCATATACCGAAAATCCGCCGACCTGAAATCCACCAACTCCTGAAATCAGCGTTGCATCTCAAAATATAAACATTCAGTTTATAGGTTCCGGAAACTGCAACATTGAGTACGAAATATCGTAGAAAAAAATACTTACCAAATAATGATGTCATAATAACCGAATAATAATGAGTCATAATGGAAATCCAAATTATTGACATCATGATAAAAGTTTTTTCCCTTCTAATCTGCATTGAGGTAAAAAAGCATACGATTCATTCAACTCTTCTTTCAAGTTCACGATTCACATTGTTGTATTTTCTGAGCTTTGTTATTTCACCAGATTATTTAGTGCTGCCTTTTTTTTAATCCATATATTTTGTGGATAAATTAAGAATATTTTAAATTTCAGTCCTTTTTAATACATTTACAGATAAGAAACGCACTCATGATTTTACTGCTTGCAACGTGGAGAAACGTAAACACGTTGCATTGACGGTAATGCAAAAAGTGCAAATTCTGCAAAAGATGGAGACAGGTGCTACTTCTCAGTTTATAGCAGAATCGTATGGAATTGCGATACGATTGCATATGATATACAGAAAAATAAAGAAAAGCTGCTGAAATGTTACAGTAACAGTGATTCTAACACCGGAATCCGAAACCGGAAATCTTTGCATGAGGCGAAATCGGCAAAACTCTATGCTGTGTATATATAATACAATGAATAGTATAATCAATTTTATATATGTAATAATAATTTAATGCGTATAATAAGATATTGCAATAATGTATATAATAATTTAATTAAATGTATCTAATATGCCTTATTTATTTTGCACTTTGAGTCTGAATATTATGACTTATTTTTTCTGTCCTGAAATCCACAAAATCCTAAAATCCGTACAACCTCTGGTCCCAAGCTTTGCGGGTTTCTGGACTTCTACTGTATTTTGAAACTGGAATTTAATTTAAGAATCTTGATGTCTTCATCCTCCTAGCAATCTGCAATAGCTGTATAATCAATCGGAACTGGAGTAGCGACAGTATCGATTCTCAGTAGTGTGTCTGCTACAATGTTGTCTTCTCCAGAAAGTCTGTAGTGAATTTGGCAATGTAGTTCAACTGCGAGACTTGTCTTTATCTAAGTTCTGCTGGAAGGCGAAGGTGATAGTTTTGTGATCAATGAAGATAGTAAATGGTTATCCTTCCAGAATGTGTTTAAAATGCTTTATTGCTAGGTAGATTGCAATTAATTCTTGATTATATGCACTGGAATTTCTGTCTTGATGATAGGGATCGGGAGAAAGAGCTTAGCAGTTGTTTTTCATTATTGTATAGTTGATGGATTGGCACCCATGGCCTAATCAGATGGATCTCTAGTTAAGGGTGATCTGTGCTGTCTAGTTGAGGTAAACTAACATTGCAGAGTTGCACAGTGTGCTTTAGATATTGGTAATAGCCTTCTGAACATCTTTGGTCCAAATTTAAGTGTTTTTTTCTTTCTGGTTTTCTCTATTCCTTTAAGCAAGATTGTCAGCGGTTGTTGTAGTTTGCACAGTTTGGTATGAAGCAATAGTAAAAGTTTAACATTCTCCAAAATCTGTGTAAACTTGTGAGGGATTCTGGTTTAGGATATTGTTTAATTGTATGAACTTTCGATGTAAGAGGTTTGATTCTTTCCATTGATATTTCATAAACTAAAAATTCAACTTTGCTCAAATCAAATGTACGTTTTTCAGTGTTTATGAGCAGTCCATAGTTATTGAGTCTTTGGAAGATTAATTCGAGGTGTTTTTTGTGTCTTTCAGTGTCTGTAGAGGCAATGGGAATGTCGTCAAGATAGCAGAATGCAAAGTCCAGGCTGCTAAAATGGACTTGACCTTTGGAAGGTTTGTGCAGCGGTGCATAGGCCAAAAGTCATATAAGGGAATTCAAAAAACAATGATGATCTTCGGAATATCAGCTTCATGAACAGGAACCTGTTGGTAGGTTCTTTTCAAATCTGTGGTTGAAAAAATCATTTTTCCATGCATAAGGCCACAGTAATCACCACATGGTCTCTATTCGCCGGATATTTGTAAAGTGAGGTGTAATTCAGTTTTCCTGTTTCAAAACCTGGTATTTACATGGTGGGGTGCACTTGTAAGCTTTCTCACCAAAGCATTGATGAAAATAGCAGTTATTTGGGTCACGGTTATCTTTGGAATGATTTCTTGAATTCAAAGCCATTTCTGCTGTCTGCAGTGTCAAGTTTGGTATCTGTTTCTGTAGATCTTGGGCTATAATGTTATCAGAACAATGAGAGCTACCTGGGGTGGATTGGGATTTAATTTCCATATTTTGTCTGCCATTGTAGATAGTTTGGACAAATCATCGCTGCTTACAGACAAAATGCTCCGCATATTAAGTGGTAGTCATTGTATCCGCAATGCTATCAAAAATTCATCTGGCACTTGCTCAGCCACGATGTTTCGCATTTCACAAAGAAGTTGGGATGGTTTCTTATCACCCAGCTCTAATTCAGTTTCAGAATCGGCAAAAACTTCATAAGCTTCTTTTTAATGGCCAGATATTTGCCGCTATTTTGTGATTTGGTGCAAATATCAGCGATTTGTGACAATGTCCATGCTTCAATCGAACTGACTATATAATCATATTTTGCTTGATCAGACCTAATTCTAGCACTGCATAACTGGGCTTCGATCTGAAGAAACCATATTTTGGGGTCAGGTTTCCAATAAAGAGGAATTTTGATGCTGACCCTGGTGACAGCTGCAGTTGTTGCATTAGTTTCAGTTTGCGTACTTTCATCTTTGTCAGCGAAAGTAGAATTAGGCTTAACAGATGTACAGTTATCTTTAGTCATCTAATTTTTTGTGGCTTAAGCTTTCCCAGTTAAAGATTGCTTTGTAAAAACTAGTTTTTTTGTTCATTTACTTTTAACACATTTGATGCATTCTGAAAGTTTTTAATAAATTGACAGCCTAATTGTATAAATTACCACCGAAGACATATTGCAATATAGAACAAAATTAAAATTTTTAATGCTGACTTTAGAAGTCAGAAGCATTTCAATCCCATGTATGCTCAGAATTTATACTTTTCAGATGCATAAAAATAATCAAACCGTCAATTCTTAATGCAGTTCCATGCAAAAACAGAAACACTGCGAAATCGAAATTGTTACTCAATCCATTTTTTAGCTCAGAAAAAAAAACAACTATGGAACTTTACAGTGGGAAAGTAGTTGCTTACAATGCTTTCCATACCACATATTTAATAACAGGTTAACTGTTTATAATATGCATCTATTGTCAATGGCATCTTGTCATCTTCCAGAAACATCTTGCACTCTTTTTACACTTCATTAGTATTGGATCAAATCCGGGTAAACCAGTGAAGTGTGTGGAATGTAGAAAAATGCTAAACACGTCTGACTTCGATAAGGTTAACATTTGCATACATTTATTCATATCGAATTTCATTAAGCAGAAAATCAATCTTCTTTTGATTTCACAGTGGCTTAATGTTGCCACTCTGGCGAAAGAAAAATTGCTCATGAAGAGTTTCACGGATGGTGCTTTCATCATGGCAAATGATGACTGCACAAGCACATTTTAAGGCACTGGATACAATAAAGAAGAAACACATTGAAACAGTTGATAGAGGATGGAGACTAATCTTTCCACACCCTTTGACCAGTGGGAAAAAAAAAAAAAAAAAGACCAAGATTTCGCCAACATGTAATTGTGAATGGGCAGTATAATGAAGGAGATAAGCATTAGAATGTCATATAAATAAGTGAGTTATTTCATCAGTCTCATTATTTAATAAACTTATTTTTTCAAATTGAGTTAAGAAAAATCTTATTGAGTATTGTTACATACATTAGGTTAAATTTTTAATGCCAGATACTCTAGTAAAAAAGGGTGCTTTGTGATATATCAGTAATTAAGAATATTTTATAAACATTAGATCATGCAAAATGTTTCTGTAAAACATTATATTATAAATCATAAAATGTAAAGCATCTCAACAACTAATATTTATTTAAAAAGTGAAAGGGTTGAAAAAGGAGAAGAAATACAGTTTCTATGCATTTGTTTTATGAAATACTTTATATAGTTTTTAATTTTTTAAATTATTATTTATTTTTCAGATTACAAACCAAAGAATGGCTGGGCTATTGATCCATTTGGTTTATCTCCAACTATGGCCTATTTATTACGCAGAATGGGATTGGATAATATGGTAATACAGCGAGTGCATTATTCAATTAAGAAATATCTTGCGGAACGTAAAAGTTTGGAATTTTTATGGAGACAGCAGTGGGGTATGTATGTTGCATAATTTTGGTATAGATATTTCTGCAAATGCATGCTCATTAAATTAAATATTAATCATTTTGCTGTAATTTTTCAGCATTAAAGTTTACAAATTTGCGTTTGTGTTTAAATTTGTATTTACTTTTCGCATATTTGCATGAATTGCCCAACTTTTTGACCTCTGTAACTAATTTTCAAATTATTTTAGGCTTTTATTAGAAATCAGAAACTTGCTTCTTTACCTCTTACTACTATCCAGAAAAATGAGCAGTGAAATGAATAAATAAAATTACAATATTTAATTGAAAATGTTGGGTTCTCAATATTTTAACATTTTCTGATGTGTAATTTTCATCCCTTTTTTATGGCAACCCTTTAAAAAAAGAAGTAAGTTAAATTGGAGTTTAAGCTATTTTATGATATTTGTTTACTATGCAATATACTCGTGTGCAGAATTAAGAGAATTTCTAAATTATATCTATTTTTACCAAAAGTATTGAACCAAATGTACTAATTATGCTGTCAAACTATGAAAATATTCAGAATGAAATGCATAAGCATACACATGCATGTCTGCAGAACTGTGATTGTGGAGGGGATATAAGTGCACGAGGGGCTTTAAGCAAATTGTGCCTTCGTACTCCTTCACCACATTTGCTGTGTTTCTTGCAACAGTTGGGTAAATAAGGTATCAAGTAAAATGAGTAGCCACAAATGTATGGATGAGGGAATGAGATGGAGAATTGTTGGTAGGCTGCGGGTGGACTAATCACAAGTACAGGTGAGTACAGAGCTAAGTGTAATACCCAGTGTTGCCTGCAATTAGTGGATATAGTTTCAGGACACTGGTTCTCTGTATAAAAAAAACTTGGACAAGGCTGGCCAAGATCGGCAACAACTAATGAAGATCGTTATTTTGCACTTTCAATGTGGAAACACAGGACTACTACAGCTTCACAGCTCTCGCGTGAATTGTACAGGGGTGTTCACACATTTTTGTAATGATTTTGCAAAGATTAATATGTAAACAAACCTTAAAATTGTATTTTCTAATGTGTTCAGTCTGATAGCCCTTTTATTAAACTATCATATTACATCTTGATTTCCAAGATAAATGTCCTTTTCTTAACATATCAAGGTTGATTTTATTCCACTCTTCACAATCTTCCAGAGTCCGTCCAATGTTTTGGGATGCTGCTTATAAAGAGCTTGTTTTAAAAGTCCAGATGGACAGTAATCCATAGGAGACACATCAGTGGACTTGAGTGGGATGCATTCTAAGGGGATAGCTTCAATTCCAGTTTCATTTCTCATTTCTTTCAAAAAATATGGTGGTAGATTTAGAGGTATGGCTTGGAGCCTTATCCTATTGGAACGTAACACAGTAAAGATTGTTTGGATAAAGAGATGGAATTTCTTCTTTACAAATTGGTGTTAAAACATGTTTCTTGTAATAATCCAAATTAATTTTGACATTTTTTCTAATTTTCTTATTTTAAGTTTTCTGCTATAAGAGAATCCAGTAATAACCATAAAAACTTTAAAACGGCCTTTATTTAGGACCTGTTAATAATGGTGTAAAAGAAAAAAAAAAGTTGGTATTTATATTAAGGTTTAAGTATGTGATGAGACAAAAAATATTAATCTTTTCATGTAATAGTATTACATTTAAGACTAGCACATAATGCACTCTTACCTCAATAATTGTTCCTTTTCTGTCAAAGTAAAGTATTCACATTCTTCTCCTCGCCCTGTCCTTGCTGCTGTACCACAGGGCGGGCTAATTAGTCCTTTCTCTTCAACTTGTATGTAAATGACATACTACAATCACCCAGTGTTGATCTAGCACTTTACGCAGACAACACGGCCATCATTTCACAACACCCAACACTGCATATCAATCACCTTCAACAGTACCTGTCAGACTTGGAGTCCTGGCTCGTTACCTGGGAAATAAAAATTAATGTTGCCAAAAGTGCTGCCACAGTTTTCTTTTCCAGGAGAGGAATGTCCATAGTCAACTCCAACCACTCAGGCTCTTTGATGAAGACACCTTGGGTGGATTCATACAAATATCTCTGAGTTCATTTCGATTCGAAGTTACTCTGGAACACTCACATCAACTATGCAATATCTAAAGCTAGAACTACCAGGAACCAACTACTCAGCCTCATCAATGGAACCAATCACCTCTCCTTAAAAAATAAGGTCCTGCTGTACAAGAGTACCATCTTACTTATCCTTACTTATGCCGCTGCCATATGGTCAACTGCTGCCAGTAGCCAGCCACCTCAAGAAAATCCAAGTGTTTGAGAGTGTTATGCTTCGTATCTTGACAAATGCTCATTATTACATCCGCAATGATGTGCTCCCCTTAAATTTTACTCTTAGACACCTTTTTTCGGCACAATTCGACCAAGTTTTTCAACCGCTTAACCTTGTTTGAAAACCCAGACCTGCATTCACTTCCTGTATAACATCCGGCAGAACCAAGCTCTATATAAATCCGGCAGAACCAAACTCTGCCAAGCGACCTAGGAGCATCCTTTCGAGAACATTTAACATCTTTTCTAGGAAGCCAAAATAGGTGTGTTTGCTTCACTAGGGAATTCTCTCTTATCTCTTCAAAATCTTACCTAAATTTTTTCTACACCCCCGCCAGACCTAATCCAGCCTTACTTCACTGGTATTCATATCCGTGCTGTTCACTTAATCACACCTCCACTTGCCAAGACCTCTCCTCTACCAGTTTGTAAATTTTTGGGGGAATTTAATCTTGAATTCTACTTAATTCTAATTTTACCTTAGCTAATCTCCACCACTTAAGGACATGCTCATATCTTAAAAATATTTTTGTTTAACTTTAACTATTTTTGTTTAAACTAGTTAACTTAATTATTTTAAATCTTAATTACTTAGCAGCATCCAATTAATTTACCAATACTTATTCTGTACATTAAAAATTAAATTTAATGTTATTCGTTATTCAATGCTTTAAACTTCTCTGTCATTCTGCGCAAAAGAATTTCTTTAATTTAGCCAAGTTAAGGCCTGGAAAGAACTTTGCTTATCTCTCCCTGCACAATCAACTGACTCTGACCCCCCCACGTTCCCTCTTTCTTTCTACCCAGCAATCCAGTTCTTAGGTCCTTGACCTCTTCCCCTCGACCATTACCAAGGCTTCAGTGATCTTCGCGGCACTTCAAGTTGTCATGACAAACTCACCCGGGACTTGGAGAATTTCGACTCCCGTCTCAATCATTTATCAAGATTTTTTGTTACCATTCATGCTAGCGTGTGCAGGTATCGCCTCCCCCAGCACCTCTTTCAATACTCAATTGCCGCGGCGGGGGAGGGCATTGACGCCTGCCCTGGCAAGAAAGAAAGCAGTTTTCGTCCCATTCTGTGGACTTTTTATTGATCTCTCATACCTTTAAACCCATAACGGTTCTCGTTCCTAACTTTAGCCATGCTTATCTCTAAATTATTCATTTATTCTTAACAAAGTTGTGTATATAATTGCTGTTTTCAGCAAAGGTGCTCTGGAAGCCATCGCCTTGGTCTTTGGTCCAAGAAGGACTTTTGCGATCGTGACGAAATTTGGTATGCAAAAACATCTTGATCGAACATGCAAATGATCAAATTTCCAAGGAAAATGAACAGGAATTGCGAATCATAACGAATAATTGTAGTGCGCAATTCACAAAGTCTAAAACCAGTAACAGAGCCAGAAAATTTATCTTTTTTGTTGCTGCCATGTTAATTCCGTAAAGAAGCAACTAAAGATGCCATTACAATGATATCAAAGACCTTACAGGCAGCTAAACGACTTCGAATGTTGTCACATTGTAGAGTTGCGTGAAGCTGGGTTGTCATACCGAGCAATAGGCCTCACCTGCATCGTACAGACACTGCTGTGCAAAGTTGTTGACAGCAATGGTTGCTACAAAGAAATTGCCAACGAAATGAAGGCTCTGCAAGGCCAAGGAGCACAAATGCGAGGCAAGATAGGATGATTGTTTGCGAGGACTGAACCGCCCCAACAGTATCATTGTCAACTATTCAACACACTACAGCCATGTCTATAACTCCCATGGTACCATCCACCATATCACGGCGCGTGTCTGAGGCAGGGTTGTGCTCACAGAGGCCTTTAAGACGTTTGCTTTTGACCCGACAATATCGGCGGTGTTGTCTGGAGTGGTGTCGTAGCAAATCAACATGGCTGCCATCAGACGACTGGCATCGTATAGTGTTCAGCAATGAATCCCCTTCACTCTTAAAGCAGATGACCACTGTGTTCATATCTGGAGAGGATGCGGCCAGCTGTACCAATCAGCCTTTGTTTCACAAAGGCATACAGCCATAACCTGTGGTGTAATGGTGTGGGGCACTATTTTTCATGACAGCAGGTCATCTTTAGTCATCTTCCTTATATCTTTAACAGCTCAACGATATGTTGATACCATTCTGCGTCCACTTGCATTACCCTTCATGGCACGCCATCCTGGGGCCATTTTCCAACAAGATAATGCCTGGCCACATACCGCTCGCATACTCTGGACTGTCTCCCTGCGGTTGATACTCTTCCTTGGCCAGCAAGGTCACCAGACCTTTCACCATTCGAGCATGTCTGGGGCATGTAGGCCGCCAGATTCAGGCACCACAAAATATGGCAGATCTGGGGTGACAACTGATGAATGCCTCGCAGAATATTTCACAGGATGACGTTAGGAATCTCTACCACTCATTGCGTTGACAAATTCAAGCATGCATTGCCACCAGGGTCAGTTCGACCAACTACTAATTTGAACACTCAATGGGTGATTGTGAGCTGTGAACAGGTACTATGACCTTGATTTTTTAATCATTTTATTATCTGTGTATGAGCTATACACATATTCAATTTCATCAAAAACAACCACTTCCTTCATGGTGCTTTGATTTTTTTGCAAAAGAGTGTATTTTTTGATACTGTATAGAAATATAATTATTCTAGGTTATGTGATTTTTATGCCATATTATTGCTGGAAGTTTTTACTTTCTTTTCTCTCATGTAATAATAACTTTAAATGAAAATTTTGTTTTGTTTTTAATAGCTTATTTTCTTGCTGATAGAAGGTAATCTTGTTAGAAAATATCTAACGATTTATGAATTATGAACGGAAAGATCTTCTTTTTAAGATGGTTATTTCTTATATAATTTTTATTTTTATTTCACGCAGATCAAAATCATACTATGGATATTTTATGCCACACCATGCCCTTTTATAGTTATGATATACCTCACACTTGTGGGCCTGATCCTAAGATTTGCTGTCAGTTTGATTTCAAGCGTCTTCCAGGCAATAAAGTGAACTGTCCATGGAGGGTGCCTCCTGTACCAATAACAGAAAAAAATATTGCTGATAGGTATTATCATAATTTAGGAATTTTTGTCATTTTCATGTATTAAATCATTAAATAAATATTATTATACAAAGTCCAGAATCTAGATGTCCAGTATCCAGAATGACCTAATATCCAGAGCTCAAGCAAAATGGGGGAAAAAATTACATTTCCCTGAGAATTTTCCAAGCAAAAATGTGTGCTATAAAAGCTGTTTTGATTCAAAATCAAACTTTGCTTTATATCCAATTTATTACATTTACGAACCCATACAGATAAATTTGATTATTTACATGTAGAGTTTAGTATAAAGATAAAGTGATCCGTATATCTTAATGATGAAGAAACAATCAGTATTTCAGTAATGTAACTAACTTAACTGCTGCTTACTTAGAAGAACGGGAATTCCCCCAATCACAGCATTCGAAACTGGTTGTCAGATTCATACATCGAACAAAATTGCAAAGCAAACTCTTAAGTAATAATAAACAGGAAATGCTAAACTTAATAGGAGTCACAACAAAAGCAATTTTTCAGCAGATTGAGATTCCTGCATGTCGCTTTAATACATCTGTTGACTAGGGAATCGCATCATGGCCATGACAATACATTAACTGACATTAACAATAACCACACTTTGAGACATTGAGTGGTTATGGGGATTAACATTTTTCTGTGTGATGTAAACCTAAAGCACCGAGACATATTTGTTTGGAGTGTGATGTTGTTCATACTGGTTTTTCTTTTTTTTTTCATAGCAGTGAGAGAGATGGAATGTTATATTTCAAGAACTACTGTTAACATAACAAATTAACTGTTAACAAACTACTGTTAACTCTTCCTTGACTTTTTAATTTGATCCAGCTTAGTATTTTTTGCAGGCAATTATCTGGTTGTAACAAAAGTTTTTTGCTAAAAATGCTTTTAGTAAAGTTAGGAATAAAAACAGAAAAGCAGTGCGGGTAGTAATCACCATCCAAAATCTATGATTTTCTGCCACTATTTTTGGTAGTTTTTCAAAGCCTTCAGCCCACAAGATTGGTGGCCGCGAGTCCAAAAACAAATCAACCATATTTCAGACGTCCAGTGCAGAATGGAAGATAGCCCCAGCAAGATGTAGCTGCAAATGTGAAAAAGATAGAAGTCCAAAGGAGCAATGTCGAGGCTATATGGTGGGTGTGACAAAAGGTCCCATTTTAGTCCGTACAGAGTCCAGTCGGTGAACACAGATATGTGTGGTCTTTCATTATTTGATGGGGCATTACCTTTTTGTGCTGTAGAGACATTAGGTTAATTGGAAAAGCGAGAGAGATGAAAAATTAGCAACCGTCTTTGCCGGGAATTGAACCATGGAACTCTGGAATACCTGCCCAGTATGCTAGCCATTACCAATTGCCAAAACCTGTGTGTGGAGAGTCATCATCCATCACCCTTTTAGTTCGGGCGCCACTGTAGAGACATTAGGTACTTTTTGGAAGTAGAAAAAATGAAAAATAGCAACCACCTTTGCCGGGAATCAAACCACAGACCTCTGGAATTACACCACAAAGGCATGCAAGGAAATTGGGAGAAATACCTTATGGCGCCTGAACTGAGTTCGATGATTTTCCTTGATAGGAGCGTCAACATGGACTGGCATCTCACTGTTGATCTTACTGTTAAGGGTTTAACCTTTTTCCAGATACTTTTTGTCGATAATACAACGGCAGTCTCACCAGATACAAAGCATGATCTTTTTGGTAGTCAAATTGCACTTAGTGATGCTGTCGACGGGCCCACCGGGTGCAGACCAACTCCCTTTCACCCTGTGTTGTTGAAGTAAATCCACATTTCTGTACAAGTGACTATCTGTTCCAGAATTTTCTCCTTGCATTGATATTCGAGCAGATTAGTGCATGCCGAACACGTCTGATCTGCTCGAGTCAGCTCAATGCAGCACCCAGCGAATGAACTTGTACTTTAAGTTTATGCGATGGATATAGCACTAATGTCTAACTTCTTATCGAGCTCTCAAGTGGTTGCATACTGATCTTCCTCAGGTTTTTGCAGGCATGCCCTCATCAGCTTCAGTAGGCTGGCCAGATCGTTCTGCTTCTTGAATGTCCTAGTCCTTGTTTTTGAACTTTCAGTACTAAACCTTCGCAGTGTCATATGATACAACATTAGCATCTAAAGCTGTACACATGATTCGGTGACATTCTGTAACTGACTTTTTGCTACAGAACTGGAAGTAAATGGTGTTTCTAACCTGGTAGCGTGATAGTTCCATTTCAGACACCTTGTACTTAATGTTAACAATTTTCTTTTTTACAAATGTCACAGCATAGTGTTCCAAAGCAAGTCTCTTTCCTTCAGATGCCAAAAATCATTTGACAAAATATGGTTAAACGTGCCAACGTGAACTGTTTGCACAAACGATATTTGTGGTGGCTGGAAACTTTCATTAAAACCTGATATTATTATACCTATCTTATGAAATTTAAAGTTTGAATTTTTAATTATGTTGGAAGAGTTTTTATATCTAAAGCTGCACCAGGATCTGCAAAGCAAAAGCATGTTTTCATATCATTGAAGCAAAAGAATTTCTGCAAAAAATGGATAATGGCATATCCATTTCAAACTGATGACAGACTGGGACAGAAAAGGACCTTTTTTTAATATTTCTGACACCTCATTCACCATGAATAACAGAAAAATCATTCATTATGCTAAAAGTGAAATACGATAAAGTGATGGAATGGGTGAGATAGCACTAGAGCAGGGCATGCCATTGGCACATCCTATGCTAATAGCTCAAGCCAAATTATTTCACAAGGAAGGACTTAAAACTGAGTGCACATGTTCGACTAATTTTTTAACTAAATTAAAAAATCCCAATGGTGTATGGTTGTTGAAAACTTCAGGTGAAAAGGCTACAGCTGGTATTGAAGCAGCTGAACAATTTGCAGATGAATTCGTAAAAAGTTGTCTTCAGATCAAATTCATAGCACTGACAAAGATGGCCTTTTGTAGCAGCAATATGTGCCCTGAAATACTTTGGTGATCTGGAATAGGCTTCAAATGTTATCAAAGATTCGAAAGTGAAACTAATAATTTTGGCATGTGCAAATGCTGCAGGAATCCACAAATGCAAATTTTGAGCAGTCACAATATACTTTTTACTTTCCTTTTCTGTGCAGGTATTGTATATATATATATAAAGAAACCTAATACAAGGCTAAAAATTAAAAACAAAGCTGGCACTAAAGCTGCAGGATTGAAGTACAATAAATTCAAAGCATTTAGAGTTAAAAGTAAACATGCTAAGGGCAGAAGTGGAAGCAAATCCATGTCAAGCACTCTTAACCAACCTTGGTTGACCATCTAAGAACATTTAAAGCAGAATGTAAAATAAGCAAAGCAGGTGTTTAAGTCCCCCATAATCTGTCCGAAAAGAACAAAGCCAACCTATCCACCACATACAATGTATTGCTTCAGTGGCACCATACAGAACCGTTTTTTGATCGTTTGAATAGTGGAGGCAAAAAAATAAGTCCTGTATGATAATCCAAAACTGAAAAGGCAGTTTTAATAGGGTTACAAAGGGTTTACATCCCGAAAAGGCGCTTCTGGGTGTTTGATGGAGTATTCGCGGAATTTTTCATTTTGAATTGCTGAAATCCGGACAAACTGTTAATGCAGATCTTTATTGGGAACAATTGGATGGAGTGAACCAATCTTTAATCGAAAAATATCAATTGTCAACAGAAAAGGCGTCATTCTGCAACACGACAATGCAAGACCGCACTGTGCAAAACGAACACTGGAAAAAAATTAATGAATTTGGGTGGGAGGTACTGCCATACTTATCCACCATACTCGGCTGATATCGCAGCATTAGATTTCCATTTATTCAAATCCCTACAACATTTTCTTAGTGGCAAAAATTTGAAAATTTGGATGATGTCCAAAATGTCCTCATGGGTTATTTTACTCAAAAACCAATTGATTTTTATCGGTCCGGGATTGAAAATCTGCACATTAGATGGCAAAAGGTTGTTGATAATGAGGGTGATTATATTATTGATTAAAAATAAAAACTTGTTAAAAATCTATTCGTTTGAATTTAATGTAAGAAAGTGACGTTACTTTTCGGTCCCCCTATTATTTATACACTACCTCAGGCATTTAAAGAAGTAACTGTGCAATTTTAAAAAGTGTGTAGCTTAATTTATGGCCAACTGCCATATTTCATGGTGATGATGATAGCCATGAATTTGAAGGTTTTGGGATATCACAAGCAAAAGGTGAAATTTTCCAGTTAATGGAATTTATGAGGAAATGTGAAGAAAAATTAATTAGTAATGATATGGCAGAAGTTTTCCATTGCTGTGTCAGCGTCATTCATTTTATAATTTCTACGTCATCTTACTAGATTTTAACTGATGATGTAAAATCTGGAAATTTCTGGTATCATTGAAGCAGTTCTCATATTTTGTACTGTATGTTGCAATCATATTTTGATATATCTGTGATTTTATTCAATTCAGTAATTGTACTAGAGTCCTCAAAAATCAACTCATCAGACATAGGTTTTGTTAGTTTTGAGATATTATACACAGTTTTATCGTATTTCTAAAATTTACAATTATGAAAGATAATTTGAAACAATTTAACTAAATATCTTCACAATTTTTCAAATTTTAAACCTGAAGGGAATCATCACATTTTGATTTATGCAGTGCACTTTTTCTAAGGAAAGGAATAGTGAGAGGAAGATAATTATTTGCCAAATCATAGTTTATGTTAACTAAATGTTTGGATTAATTCAAATAATGCAGTTATAGCATTTACAAAAGAATTTGGAACCATTTCAATTAAAGTTTTAGAATAATATAGGAAGTTAGAGGTAAGAGATTAATATTAATTTATTGAGCTTTAGGTAATGATGCTGGTAAATGTTAATGCTCCATGCTATAAATGCACAATAATAATTTTTCATGTTAAAGATATTTTGTGGCAACAGCAATGTATTGCCCAAGGGA